TACTATAGCAGATTTATTTTAACTAGTATTATTATATGCGACAGTGTTAATTTTTTTGTATTATTTTCACGCAGTAAAGTAGCAATATATTGCAGCGATTTTCTAATATAAGTCCCTAGATATCGCGAGTGTGTTTTAGGTTTCCCATACAAAATTTTAACCCCTATTCCACCCCTTTCAAGTTTTATTTTCACGATAAAAAGTAGCCTTCCTTTCCGATTTCCTTCTCCAAGGTTCCATCTATTTCTATAAACAAATTCATCAAAATTGGTTCAGTAGTTTATACGTGAAAATTTAGCGTCTCTTCGATCTAGTTGTTATTCCAGGTAATCGTTTATATTCTGTGTGTTAAATTTCATCCAAATCGGTTCAGACAAACTTTCGCTTAGCCTGATATCATTTCTAGTAAATCCTTTAGTTAGAGGAGCAGTCTGAGTGCTAGGTTTACAGCCCTGCATAATCTACTAGTTTCCGTCTGCTTTTTGAACACAGCTTGCAGCGCGTTAATAGACATTTTGTATTTTGACATCTACATATACTCGTATTATATACATATTTAATCTTTTTAAATATTAATACTCATTAAGAAATGGGATAAACGTGCATATAGTATACTAGCACCGCCCGCGTTCAGATGAACAAAAACCAAATTCTTAGGTTTTAAATATTAGTATACTCTTACAATGCAGTTTTTGTATTTTTTCTCAGAAATGACATATTTTCCCGCGGTAAAAAGTATCCTATATGTTGACTCGGATAACCAGCTATCACCATACCAAATTTCACAGACAGACAGACGCAGACGAACAGACAGACATACAGACAGACAAAAATTTTAGATTCGGTCTCTGTATCGGTAATAATGTTTATTTCAATAAGATTTTTCAAATATAATATCTAATGTACAGATTCGGCTTAGTTACAAATTTATTATATGTATACATTAAATTATTTAGATATTCTTCATACAAAAGTACTAAAATCGCGATTAAAAAATGAAGGGTGGGGGTAGGGGGGTCAAAAATACTTTACGACTCTATTCTCATTCCTACTCAATATACAAAAAAAATCATTAAAATCGGTCGAGCCGTTTCGGAGGATTGCGACCACAAACACCGTGAAACGAGATATTTATATATTCGATTTTTTTACTAAAATTTTTGGATTTCTTATATGAAGAAAAATTCTTTCTGCTTCTTATTTATTTTTATATCGATAGGTAAATTCTATTTATTACTATATGTTTTCTTCAAATTTTCAATAATGAAAGATCAAATGACCACTCAATGAACATTCATCTATATAATTTTCTCTTCACTAAAGCCACGAGAAAGATATACTTATATATCCGTAGTTAGTAGTAAATTATGTATATACTGAAGTATATGAGTGTAGCAATAAACTTTGTTTTCTCCATCAAAAAACTGCCTTACTGGACCATTTCTACAGACCGTTAGATTTAGTGGTGGTAATAAAAACGAGTTTTATTAGCTTAGAGATTAGCCGAGCAATCCTTTAGTAGTGTTTTTATTTGAATGGCAAAGATAATTAATTGTTATGACCGACTATCGATTTAAATTAGAATAGTAAAAATAAAAAATATAATAAAAATTGTGGTAAAAATTGTGGTAAAAATTGTGGTAAAAACTTACTGAAGTCTTAGACGGAAAGTCACATAGTATAGTACTATGTATGTATTCAGGCTCTTTTACCCGATTAATATAATAAAAGTGTCTATCAGCCTATGTATATTTGTAAGTATGTCCATATATGTGACCAAAGGCGTGGACCGATTTTGAGTATTGATACGTCGTTAGATTCGTCTTGATAATACAAGTATCATAGGCTATATAAAAATAGTTAAATATTAAAATTGCGGATTTACAGCGCCAATTTGTGTTTTAAAAAAAAAACTTTCAAACGAATTGAGTTGGGTATGGTATAAAAATATACAACTTATATGTTTAAAAGTAATTTAAGATAAAAAATTGTTAAATATAAATTGAAATGTATAAATGGCGAAAACTAAAAAGCTGTAAGTAAGCTTTTTTATTTTTATAATATTTAACGTCCCACAGCTGGGGGCGGGCTTCCCTTGCATGCGAGGGTTACCATGGCGGACTTCACATGGCTTTCTAAAACTCGCTAGGTTCTCTCAAACATGCAGGTTTCCTCACGATGTTTTCCTTCGCCATAAGATAAGTGGTAATCTTGTTAGAAATGGTTCGCACATGAAAATTATAAGAGATCCGGGATTTGAACCGCTTCACTCAATTTTTCAAGCGAGCGCATTACCACTGAGCTACCACTGCCTTATACAGTATAGCAGTATAACTTTCGCCAATTTCGAATAATTTTTAGCCTAAACAGAAAAAGTTAAGTGAATGCATCTTTTTACTATTGCAAAAACTTAGTATAGGTGTAGTACCTAGTTCCTGAGTTCACACTGAGTTATATACAAACATACGAATTTACCTCTTGATAATATTGTAAGATTATAATATAGTAATTATTCTGAAATACATACGGTTCGATAGGTATTTACGCAATATCTTTTCTATCAAGGGTTCCATCCCTTATTTGGTAAAGAGATCACTTTCTTATTGATCTATTAAGCTTCTTTGCAAAGCTTTGACCTCTTTAATTGTTGTTCATTTTATAATACTATGTACTTTAAAATTCAAATTAATTTTTCATATTTATATTTTTGACGACACGTTTGACTCAGTTTGTAGTAACCCTACTTGCTGTGCCAGCAGTCGCGGGTTCGAGTCTCGATGGGGGCATTCATTTGTGTGATGAGCACGAATGTTTGTACTCAAGTCATAGGTGTTTATATTTATAATATGTATGTATGTATTTAAAATTATATACGTGTAGTGTATCAACTATCTGGTATCCATAACACAAGCCTCGTAGCTTCGCATAGAACTAGATGGTACTATGTGCTAGTGTCCCAACATATTTATATTTATTTATATATTTAATTTAAAAAAAAACTTTTTAACAAAAAAATAAAAACCGACTTCAAACAAAAGCACTAAAAAGTAAAAAATAACTGATTGGTAGTTTTCATTTACTATACATACCTAATCAAATATTTTCGAAGTCGGTGTGCTTTGCTTTGTATGGGCTGGCACCGATTTCGAAAATATTTGATTGGGTATGTATTTAATAGGTAGGCTTTAATTACTTAGCCAAAGCACACCGACTTCGAAAATATTTGATTAGGTATGTATAGTAAATGAAAACTACCAATCAGTTATTTTTTACTTTTTAGTGCTTTTGTTTGAAGTCGGTTTTTATTTTTTTGTTAAAAAGTTTTTATTTTTCCCTTTTTAGTGTAGACAGTAGTAGCAAAGTTAGGATTCTAACGTGTTAGGCTTGTCAAATCAAACAAAATAAGCCCAAACTCAAAGTATCTACTATTAGCCGTTGAAGAGTTCCACCTATCCACCTTCTGGCCTTGCCATCAGATCAGGTCAACAACACCGAACCACTGTACTATCAACGGAAATAGATATACTTGCAAAGTTTCAAGTCAATATGACAATTAAAAGTAGGTTAAATTCATCATTAGTTGTTTTTCCACCCTTAGGGGTGGTATTTTTTTTTGAAATTTAAATGGGACCAATCTGGAAGTATACCCTTTCAAACAAAACAAAAATTGTCCAAATCGGTTAATAAATGACGGAGTTCTGAGGTAACAAACATAAAAAAAAAAAAAACATACAGTCGAATTGAGAACCTCCTCCTTTTTGAAGTCGGTTGAAAATAGACATAACCATTAAAAATAGTATATTTTTTATATCCACTATGAGTGTTTGGTAACTAATGTCCTTACTTAAAGATGTTTTCAAAACAATAATATGTTGTTTGCTTAGTAATTATTAAAAATAAGCGGAATTTTTTGGACATAACTTATTTTATTTATGTACGCTAATAATAATTAAGCGTGGGCACTTTTTGTTTTGTATCTTATAATATTAAACTCACCCTCGTTTCGCTCGGGTTCGTCCCTAGGTACGTTTTAACGGCTAGTATGAAATACAAATCGTTGAATTTCTTGGCTTTTCTGTACTATAATATACATGTATCATACATATAAACCTTCCTCTTGAATCACTCTATCTATTCAAAAAAACCGCATCAAAATCCGTTGTGTAGTTTTAAAGATTTAACATTTACATAAGGACAGATAGACAGCGGGAAGCGACTTTGTTTTATACTATGTTAGTATGTAGTGATAAGCAATTCTTATAAGTACCTATATATATATAAAATTTCGTGTATCTTGGAAACGGCTCTAACGATTTGGATCAAATTTTGTATTTCGCTAAGGTTTTGCTATTTAAGAATATCTATACAGGTATCTTTTCTGAAACAATCCAATTTTTATATCACATTCTAGAAAACACCGAGCGTAGCTCGAAAATTGTAAGTTTAATGTAGGTATTTTATTTTCTTGTCAATAAATGTATGATTTTATATTGTATTTTATTACTAGCCTAAGAAGTTAGAACATCATCTATCTGCCAGTGAAAGTCCGATCATAATCAGTCCAGCCGTTTCGGAGATTAGCCGGAACAAGCAGACACATAGACAAATTTTTTAAAAATTGTACTCTTCTTATAAGTAGGTACCATATACAACTTCATAAGCATTTATTAGTAAAGAGCTGTTATTTTGACCTTACAAACAGACACTTCAATTTTATATATCTGTATAGATAAGAGAAATCTGTTAATATATTAATTAACATATTAGACACATTTTATTACCTTTTTTATTTCTTACTAAGAATTTTCATATGTATTAGAAATATTACATAACAGACCAGAACTAACAGACCTGGATTTAGATGGAATTAATAACTAAAATATATATTGTACAGAGAACGTTTTGAAAATGTGTGAGAAGTTTAAGAAAAAATACTAGAAAAATAATTAAAGTAAAATATGTTTACCATAAGTGACAAAAATAATTAAATAGGTTCTTACCAGCACTGGTAATTGCACCATTGGTATCTGAAACAAATGAACAAACATATTATATATATATATATATATATATATATATATATATATATATATATATATATATATATATATATATATATATATGTTTTACTAGCAAGTCATCCTCACTTCGCTCAGGTTCGTGTCTAGGTACGTTTTAACGGTTAGTATAGATTTCTCAGAGATGAGATATTTTCCTGCAGTAAAAAGTATCCTATATGTTAACCCGGATAACCAGCTATCATCATAGCAAATTTCATAACAAGTTCCCCAAGAGAGTTACTACCTGCCTTTAAACAACAAGTAGTTATTTGTATTAAAACTAATAATTAATTAATTGTCATTTAAATACTCAGACTAAGTATAAAATATAGACAGATTGTCATAGAACTAAACATGAAGTCAAACAATAAAGTTATAAAATAGTATAAAAATATTAATCAAATGCTTATTACTGTGATAAGTAAATTTTTTAATAAATAAAAATAACTAAGAGATTTTATTATAATAAAAAAAACTTTAAATAAGCTACTACATATTATGCTATCTTTTTTTTTAACGGGAAGAGAAGTAATGCTTAAAAAATTATAAAAGAATATAATATTATTTTTATTTTTCGTTATTATTCATATTTTTCTCTCAAAAAAACTATAATTTTTGAGGGGAGCATAACTAAATAATAATTTACAGGAAAAAAATCTAAAACTTTTAATAGCTAGGTTATATAAATTATATTTTTTGTAACTAATGTTCTCAGTTCTACTGATCCACTGTCATAATTTATTATATCTACACATATAATAAAATTGTAACTAAGCCGAATGTGTACATAAGATATTTTTTGGAAAATCTTATTGAAATATAAACATTATTATCGATACAGAGGCCGAATCTATAGTTTTTAGAATTTTTGTCTGTCTGTCTGTCTGTTACCGCATCACAAAAAAACTACTGGAAGGATTTTGATGAAATTTGGTATGGTGATAGCTGGTTGGTTATCCGGGTCAACATATAGAATACTTTTTACCGCGGGAAAATATCTCATTTCTGAGAAAAAATACAAAAACAAATATGTAAATTCTAGAATTTGGTTTTTGGTCATCTGAACGCGGGCAGAGCCGCGGGAAATGCTAGTCTTTATATATGTTTCTCATTTAGAAGACTTGTTCGTAATGAGAAATAACGTTCTTTAAACCAAATATCGTAATAGTAGGGGAGCCCAAGAGGGGGTTTTCTGTAGTTACTCGAGCGCGGCAGATTAACATAAAAGAGGTTACCTTGCACTCTATTGAGTACTTTCACCATAATATAAGTCTTCTATATAAAGGGGCGCGTCTAGGGAAGCCGATTAAAATATTTAAAAAATGTTTTGTTAAGGTAGAAATACTTGAAACCGTCAGATTAAGGTGTGGTAGGCTAGTCACATCCTGAAAAGTGTCCAATTCAATAATCTGCCGATTTGCACAAGCCGAAGAGGCAAAAATCGACTATAAAGTTTATGATGATTTTTGCCTCTTAGGCTTGTGCAAATCGGCAGATTATTAAATTGGACACTTTTCAGGATGTGACTAGCCTACCACACCTTAATCTGACGGTTTCAAGTATTTTTACCTTATCAAAACATTTTTTAAATATTTTAATCGGCTTCCCTAGACGCGCCCCTTTATATAGAAGACTTATATTGTGGTGAAAGTAGTCAATAGAGTGCAAGGTAACCTCTTTTATGTTAATCTGCCGCGCTCGAGTAACTACAGAAAATCCCCTCTTGGGCTCCCCTACTATAAATAATATACTATGTATCGTTCTGATACCTATATAAAAGAAAGAAAGATCGTACCTATAGCAAAACCGAGAATGGTAGTATAAACAGCAAATCACGCTACTATTTTTGACTTTGAATTTTTTTGTCGGACTCCGTCTATATAATACTTTAGTCTGAGTTTAAATATTGATTTTAAAAGTAAACACATCAATAATTTAGATTAAAAAGATATTAAATAGATTTAAAATCCTTGATCCAATTTCTTATCAGTTTGCGAAAACTGAAAAAATCTTCATTGTTTGTGTAAATAATTTACAATGTTATTAAAGTTAATGACCTACATTCTAAGACTTTATTTAAAGAGTAATATGTCTATGTGTAAATTGGCAAACACAAATCAGTTCAGTAGGTACATTTTTCTCCTCTATTTGTCAACCGAGTTTCGTTTTTTTTTAAAAGCTATAATTAATTAACGAGTTGTGCTATCAATATTTTTTTTTTATTTCTACCACTTGGCGAATACTAGTTATTATAAACATGCATGCAAAAGGGACGTGCAGACATACATTTACTTCATTCATCATCAAAATGATTTTTAGTAAAAAGATGACATTTAAATTGTAATTATATTAATTACTAGCGACTCGCTTTGCTCGCAAGCGAGTTAATTTTTTTGAGCGGAACCCTAACTCTTTTTCTAAAATAAAAGTAGCCTAAGTTGCTCCTTGTAACATCAGCAGCCAGTCAAAGTCCCATTAAAATTAGTCCAGCCGTTCCGGAGATTAACCGGAACAAACAGACAGATAAAAATTTTAAAAATTGATTTTTTCTTATAAGTACCGAATATATTATCATATGCATTTAGTAAAACGCTGTTATTTTGACAGTACAAACAAACACTTCAATTTTATTTAAGTTAACATACATAGCATTTTTATCACTCGACCTTTTTTTTAATTGACAAGGGAGCAAAATAAGGATGTTAAATATCTAGCTCATATAAAAATCGACACTTTTGCATATAAAAAAATAAAATTAAAAAAATACTTATTTAAAGTATACTTAACACAAAAAAAACATTGCTATTTTGTTGGTAAGCGTTAATCTCCTCATAGCTTATTTACATGTCCAAGAGAATTGGGCGTTTTTATTTTGGAAAAGGTTATTTTTCGCTGGATCGAGAATATACGAACGGCTTAAAAGATTTTAACTTTTTACGAGTAATATTAGGCAAATTGTTTTAATTTATCATTTAAAAATTAAACTAAAACGAGATCAAACGATCTCACCAAATAAGGTCACATACAAACATTGGCAAAATCTTTGAACCTGATAATGTTAATCCTTGACCACAGTTGCACGTCGCAGATAAAAAAATAATAAATATTTTATCTACTGTAAGAATTTTAAGTTATGAATTTAAAGCGTAATGCTGTATATTGTATGAATAAATTATTATTAATATGTACGAGTATAATTTATTATTTACTAGCGACTCACCCTCGCTTCGCCCGGGTTCGTCTCTAGGTACGTTTCAACGGTTAGTATATAATAGATAGACTATATATTATATATACATAGGTATGAGGAGTTGTTGTGGGTTGTATTATAACGTGTTTTCCCGTTTGAATTAAATAATTTTCAGTGGTATAAAGTCTCTAACTACTTCCACCCAAAAAAACACGCCAATCTGTCATCCTTTTTCGACGTGAAAGAAGAACAAGCAAACAACACAAAACACAAAAAAAAATCTATCAATTAATTCGATAAAATAGTGGACACCACCATTTGACATTTTTAGTTGGTTCGATTACCGGTTCAGATCATCTCTTTTAAAAAAAAATTAAATGCAGTTAATTTTTTTTTAATATACTAATATTTCGTTTGAGTGAAACTTGATATTTTCAGTGTTTAAGAAACTTTTTTTTTCCTGAGCGTTTTTTTGACGATGTTAGAGTCGATATGTATAATTTGTAAGATTACATTGTTTTCTTCAATTCTAAGACGCAATGTTTGTTCGAGAGATTTTATCCTTCCCATAGACCCATTCCATTCAAATAATTCGATAAAATGGTGACGGTGTCCTTTTTTGCATTTTTATTTGGTTCGAATCCCGTTAAAAAAATATATTATTTTTAAAAATAAAGAAATTTTTCTTTTGAGTAAATCTTGATAATTTCAATATTTAAGGTAGACGAACGCATTGCGCGCAGGTGGCGCGGGCGTGCGGGGGAGCGAGGGTGTTTCTATATTAATTATTTCTGTACATAGTATAAAATGACATCGCTTCCGCTGTCTGTTCGCTTAGATCTTTTAAATTCAACGGATTTTAATGCTGTTTTCAGCAAAAGATAGAGTGATTCAAGACGAAGATGATATAATACATGCATATTATAGTACAGAAAAGCCGAGAAATTCAAAGATTTGTATTTCATACTAACCGTTAAAACGTACCTAGGGATGAACCCGAGAATAAATAAAACCAAAGAATTGATTATCTGTAGTTTTAAAGCGAGCGAAGCCACGGGTTCTACTAGTACTTACATAAAATTTCAAGAGCGAAACGACAAGTTTAAGTTAGTTAACTGATGTAAATATTTTAAAACCAATTGTTGATTTAAAACAATACGTTTACGTAAATGTGGTGGGATTTTTGCAATTTTCATACAAAACATTTGGATTGCAAATGTTATCCGTATGTACTTAAAAAACGCAAAATCTACATATTTGCATGATTTTTTATAAAAGTTTAATTCTAACAAGTCGAATTTTAATTAACGAAAAAATACACATTTCCTGATATCCACTTATGAGACAAAATGCAATTTATGTACATACCTATTATTTGTTTTATTTATTAAACACTAGCGACTTATACTTGCTTTTCTCGGGTGCGTTTTAACTTTTTTTGCCCGCAACCTAATTTTTTTTTCTAAAATAAAAGTAACTTAAGTAACTCCTTACAACATCAGCTATATGCTAGACGAAATCCCTCCAAAACGGTCTAGCCGTTTCGGAGATAATCCGGAACAAACAGACAAAGACAGAGATTTTTTTTAAGTATATGCATTTAAGAAAAGCTGTTATTTTGACATTGCAAACAGACATTTCAATTTTATTTATCTGTATAGATAATTTATAGTTTATACTAATTTGTTAAAAGCGATAGCGTAGTTCGTTATGTACGTTGAATATTTATTAATATTATGATTATAATATTTATTATACAAGATTTTTTATATTATAA